ACTAGATGGAAATTCCATTGACTGCTTGACTAGTAAATTACTCGTTAGTCAACATCCTTACTCAGCACTCGGTCGGCCACCCGTGTGCAGTGTTACGAGGCTGTTCCCCGCCCCCTCCGCCAGAGGAGCCCGTTGGTGTGCGCTGTTCCCCCATTCCTATGGGCGCAGTGGCAGGTTGCAAGGCAGTGCGTGGCCTGCTCCTTGGTGGCCTCACGCCTCTCCCCTGCCTGCAGGTGGTAGCTGACATGCGGGAGAAGCGCTATGTGCAGGAGGGCATCGGCAGCAGCTACCTGTTCCGCGTCGACCACGACACCATCATCGACGCCACCAAATGCGGCAACCTGGCCCGCTTCATCAACCACTGCTGCACGGTGAGGGGGCGGGGCTGCTGGCTTCTCCCCACAGGGGCTCCGAGGGGGCGGGGCAGCAGGTGTCTCTCCACAGGGGCACCCAGGGGCTTTCAGGTGGCCCCACTTTCCGGCTGGGGAGGCCCAGGCCCGGCGAGATGCAGCGACTGTTCACGCAGGGAGCCAGTGGCAGAGCTGGGATTGGTCCCCAGTCTCCTGGGTCCCTCCCTGCCATCCCCTGTGCACCTATGGCAGAGCTCGAGGGCCCTGGGGGTGGAGCTTGGGGAACCTGGCTGTCGCTCACCCCGCTCCCTGTGCCCCACAGCCCAACTGTTACGCCAAAGTGATCACCATCGAGGCGCAGAAGAAGATTACGCAGGGAGCCAGTGGCAGAGCTGGGATTGGTCCCCAGTCTCCTGGGTCCCTCCCTGCCATCCCCTGTGCACCTATGGCAGAGCTCGAGGGCCCTGGGGGTGGAGCTTGGGGAACCTGGCTGTCGCTCACCCCGCTCCCTGTGCCCCACAGCCCAACTGTTACGCCAAAGTGATCACCATCGAGGCGCAGAAGAAGATTGTCATCTATTCCAAGCAGCCCATCGGCGTCAACGAGGAGATCACCTACGACTACAAGTTCCCCATCGAGGAGAACAAGATTCCCTGCCTATGCGGCACGGAGAGCTGCCGCGGCACCCTGAACTGAGCGCCGTGTTTCTTGTCTTCCCTGCCCAGCTCCATGGGGCCTGTGGCCAGTCGGGCTCCGCCGGGATCCGCCCCCCCGGGGGAAGCCAGGTCCGGATTCAGGGTGCCTTTAGTGAGCCCCCTCTAGAGCCAGTGTTAGTGGCACTTTGCCATGAGCTGAGTTTGAAGCAGCTTTGCCCAGGCAAGACTCGCTCCTGCCCCATCCACGACTCCCTGCTTAGGACCAGGCCACGTGACCCAAATCCCCAGGATGCATTGGGTGCAGCAGAGCAGAGTGCATGCTGGGAACAGAGCGGCCCTCTGTCCAGCAGTGGGGAGTTCCTCTTTGCGTTTGTTCCCTGCCTCTGAAGAGCAATTCAGGTCCCTGCCTCCAGGGCCTCTCCGGCTTGATGGCCGCCTGTCAGCACTCAGTGTCAGGGGAAGGGAAGTGCCGCGTCTCGCCTTTGGTGTGACCATAGTAGGCAGACAGCTGAAAGGGCCAGCAATGTATCTGATCACCCTAAGGCGGCAGAGTCCAAGGCTTCCGGCCTGAAGCAGCCTCATGCCCTGCATCTGTTCTTGCTGCTCTCCCCATCCCTCCCCACACACCTGCCCTAGATAGCTCCCGAGCGCCCTCTACGCAGGAGGAGCATCTGTTTAGCATGGTTGGGTTTTTACTGCTCTGTTCTCCCGCAACAGGTGTCACACCTGATTCACTCCACTGTGAACACAGCCTCCACCCTTTGATTGCAGTGCCTGGCAAATTCCCACACCCCTTTAGCATTAAAGCCCTGGTATTTCTGTCCCCTCTTGGGGGAGAGAAATCTTTTCTTGTGGACAGAACAAAACAATACCCAGCCCCCTCATCAATCTAACAAAAGCAATCAGAGCACTTCATCTCCGTATCCTGCTGCCAATCAGTGTGTGCCCCCCACCCCTCCATATTAAAAAATAAAAACACCGATAATAATAAAGGGGCTGGATTCTCCTCTCGCTCACCCCGGTGTCGCTCGGGCAGAGCGTATCTCTAGTGTAAGCCGAGACCAGAATCAAAACCCCTGTTAATTTTTCTTTAGGAGAAGAAAGTTGTGTATATATTCCAGATGGACTGGCTGTTTCTTGTAGAAACACACAAAAGTTATTGGTATGTAAATATTCTTTTTATTATTTTCCCCTTCCTACTTCAAAGAAAAAAAAAGGGTTGTAAATACCAGTTCTCTTTTCCGCCTCGCCCCAGTTTATAATTTCCTTCAATGCAAAGTTTGCTTTATTATCCCTGGGATGAAAACAGAAAGCCCTGTATGGATGGGCACTGGAGAAAATACAGTTTGTTGAGTTGCTTTTTTCATATGGGAGTCGGTTCTGAAAGATGGGAAAACAGAAATCTGGCTTGTGGATAGGGAGCCAATCTTGCCCCAGCTTTTGTGGTGTCATTTGCAAGTCCCAGCTGCCGCTAGTTGGGCTTGTGGCTTTGTTTTCGAAAGGTGACTGCTTTCGCTGGTGGAGTTTGTCAGTGGCGGGACTGTCTATGAGCTGTTTTGCCTTCAACTCTGTGCTGTGATTGAGACTTTGTGTTCCCATCGCAGTTACATTTCTGTTCATGTTGGTGAGCTTTGGGCCCTTTTGTCTCAAAGTGTAAATTGTTGCATCTGCCTTTCCGAGGTTTGGATTATCCGCCCCTACAGTTCCACCCCCAAACTCTCTTCTCATTTTAGTTTTGCATTCACCCTTTCAAGGTTCAGGTTATCCATGTATCCGCAAATTCTCTTCTGTCATCCACAGGGCCGAGCGAGATGTCAGTGCATTGCCCCTCCTATCCGGGACTGCAAGGTGTAAAGCCAGAGCTCAGCCAAATTGTAACCCTTTGCGCTGTTCTCCTTTGCCAGTGAAGTATCTGCTTTTCCAAAGTGGCTAGTGACTTCCGGGGTGGCTGGCTTGGTCGCACACGACTAGCTGGTGCCCAAGGGGCAGATGGTGAGTGTTTCCCGAAAGTGTCAGAGTGGGCATCCCAGAAATAGCAGTGACTGAAGAATCGAGGCTCCTCCTCCCTCCAGACTGCTTACAAAGCTTTGTCTTTAGCTCAAACCTTTCTCCCGATGACATCAGCAGGCCTTAGCATCTTGTGAGAGAGGCAGTTGGAAACCTTCCTGGCTCGGATTGGAAACTGCTTTGCCTCTACCCGTCCATCGCTGTGCTGCGAAATCACAGTGCTCAGTTTGGCAGGGCTGCCCCTGTGCCTTCTTTAGGGGAAGGGCTCATCTGAGATGAGTATTGGGAGAATCTTGGGGAAAATCCAAAGTGGCTCCGCTGAATTCCGCAGGCGCTGGCCAAATTCTGCTCCCCTTACACCGGTCGGAGCCTGGAGAGATGCCGTTAGTCACTCCACGCTTGCACACTGCTGGGGTCGGTGGAACTGATTGCAGATTCACACTGGCATCAACAGGCTCACTTTGGATTTAGCACTGGAGCAGAATCTGCCCCTTCCCGTACACATTGTGACCCCTTTATTTCTCGCTGAATCGTGACTCTGTGTTTCTTGTCCAAATCCACCCTGAGCACACAAAGACCCCAAAACCTGCCATTCCGCCTGTGCTCGCTATATAGAACACACCAGCCACGGGCTATAGACTCAACCCTCTTAACCCACTCAGCAGAAGCAGTGCAGTTTCCAGTGTGTATTTTTTAATTCAGCTTTAATACAGCGCTTAACTCCACCTCCTCCCCCAAGATTGTCTTGGAGATGTATTTCCCTTGGGGTTAGGCGCATAGGAGACTAGGCCTGTTTTTAAAAATTGCACTCGAGCTGCAATGAAATCCTGTCTCTTCTGATGGGACTCTAAGCCAGAAAGCAATCTCTCTGGCACCTGCCATACAGCTTTGAATTCCCCCAAGTTGAAGCTGGTTTACTGATTTCACACCATCCAGTTCCTTGTTTTTTTTAATCACTTCTTTCTGCGATTTGTTGGTGACTTGCCTCATTTTCTCAGCGTTGATTTGGATCGCTGGGCTCACTTCTGGCTTTTAGTGCCGGTGCAATGTGTTTGCCATTTCAGCTCCACACGTGTGGGGGGGTGGAAGCCCCTCCTATCAGCTCAGGAAGCAAGATTTCAGCCCCACCCTCTGGAATACACATACTCCTCAGGGCTTTTAAGCTAGTCTCTCCAACTTTCCAAAGATCGCATGGTCCCTTAGACTCAGTGGGATTTAAAGAGACCGGCTCAGAGCCTGTCAGCTCCCTAACTCCATTGACTTTGGTGGGTGTGGCCACAACTCCTGTTTCTTGTTGGATCTCCTCATTCCCTGCATCTTTCCAAAGCAGACTAGGAGACGGAGCTTCAGTGGTAAATAGGAGTCCGGTTTTCACGTTCCCCTGGTTGGGTCGTCACACTGATGAGGATTAGGTGTGTGAAACATCACAGCTTTGCCTTTTGCTCCAGAAGGGAGAAAATCCATTTCAAACCCACTTGCTATGGGGAATATCTGTCCTTGTAGCTCCCATTCCGACTTTCGCCAGGCATGAATCACCAGGCCCATCTGATTGGTTTGTTTAGTCAGCGCCTCTTCTTGAACTAATTCCAAAGCCACAAACTTCCCCAAAGCCCCCAGACGCTCCCTTGAATGGAAAGCAATTCTAGCTCCTCTGATGGACTTTGATTTAGGAGTCATCCAGACCTGTGTCTTGTCCACATCCTAATGCACCAGACAGACGTCTGCTTGTTTGAACTGGGCAGCCTTGCATTCACATTAAGTAGGTCTCTTCACCGGGCAGCTTTCCTCTAAGATTTCTGTCCCTTCTTTGGGTGTTTGGATTTCTTGGCTGGGGGACGGTTCAGAATCTCTCTTCTCCCATCTCACCGAACCGTTGCTTTCATGAAAGTAACCCCAGAAGTGGGGCACAGAGAATAGCCAAAACCAGACCTGGGTGCAAAGCAAATTCCAACAATCTGTCAAACGTGTTTCTGAGCCGAGAGAAACCAGGTCAGAAACGCCAGTGGGAGAAAAGATCACCCCACGAATCCATGTTGGCCAGCTCCCCTCAGAACCGACTCCTGGAACTCAAGGGGAGGTCAAAAAACACCCTCCAGTTCTCCCTCTTTGTGCATGTTGTCAAAGATCTCTCCAGCTGGGGGAGCCGAGCTACCTTTCTTGTCCAGCAGCTGGTTCCGAGGTTGGCGTGTTTGGCGCAGAGGGAAAAGAAAACAGACACGTTTCCCTGTCCCCATCTTCACCAAGAGATGCCCACCTGCCCCTCTCTTTAATTTGCTCTCCTTGGTTTCCTACTGTACATATGTTAATACGTTGTGGATTCAATACTTGGTGCCAGATAGCACATTTTTATAAATGTCATTAAACTTTTATTGTAAAAAAAAAAAAAAAAAATACAGACACCCAACCGGGTTATTTATATTTGGTCTTACCGTGGTTGTGTGTCTTACGTTTTCACGTTTCTCTCTCCCACTGCCATCTGCGAGAGACACAGACGCAGCCTGTGGGCTTGGCTGGTTTCCAATCTCAACTCCGGTCTGGCTGGCTCAGGTGGGGACTGGGGCGTTTTCCCGCTAGGGCAGGGTGGACCTGATCCAGCGTTCCAGGCAAGTTGATCCGGCTGCTCCCCTGGGCCCCAGGCCAGTCAGGTCCTGTGGGAGGAGTGCAAGTCTCCTCCCCCCCCCGCCCTGCAATGGGTGCTGCTCCTGGCATGGTGGAGGAGACTTGTCATGCTCCCCAAGCCCTAATTGGCCTGGGGGGGAGGGACGCAAAGTCTCCCGCCCTGCAAGGGGCTCAGCCCTTGGCTGCTGCTCAGCGGGCGGGTGACTCTAAGCTGGTGCTCCCTTGCAGGGCAGGGGCAGAGAATGAGACCTCATGTGTTGACCTGGGGCCAGCAGGCGGGAGCACGCAAAGCCGCCTCCTGCTGCCAGGGGCACCTAGAGGGAACTGCCAGCTATTCTGAACAGCTGGTTGTTTTTCCTGGGGTGGGGGAGGCAGAGACTTTGCATGCTCCCCCACCCCCAGCCCAATCGGGGTCTTTGTGTGGAGAAGTGTCTTGGCCGAGGCCCCACCCTTTCCAGGGCAGCCGGGGGCCACTTCATCCTTTTCTGAAGGGACCTCTGGTCAAAAATGACTGGCCACACCTGCTCTGCGGAGTACCAGCTCTGATCCAGCCCTGCAGCAGGGGCCTGGCTGGCTCGGGGGCCGGAATGGGGCTGGGGCCTTTCTAGAGGTGAGTGGCAACTGGGTGGGGAACCGGCTGACTTGGAAGTGGGGAATGGGCTATGGGTCCTTTCTGCGCTGGGGAGCACTGGCTCTGAGCAGGGCCGCAGGGCCTTTCCCCTTTAGG